ATCGCTAGTAGTGTGGAGGCCATTGCTAGTAGGTTGGAGGCCATCGCACGCAGGTTGGAGGGTGTCGGGTAGCGGAGAAGAGTATAGTGGCAAGTCTCATTGATTCATCTTCTCAAGAGAGTCGAATCACATCTCAAGGTCTGGTAGTGAGAAATTGAGAGACGTAGAGGTACATTAACGTTGGAGTTTTAGTGGAACGTTTGTTTGTATGTTCATGCCCGTAATTCAGGTCTTTTCAAGTATAGAAATAGAGAGCTCCACCTGCCACGAAATCTGGGCTCTGTTGCGGCCTATTGTGGCTTCGCTCAAGCCCCCCCTCAAGCTCATTCTTCACAAAGTCCTGTGCCCTGGTCCTGGCTCAGACACAAAATCTGATGCTAAAATTTCACCGAAGTCTAAAGCTGAATTCAATTGAACACAATTCCTGTCTTGGAAAACTCTCATGTGAGGCGCCCAATGACAACCTTATCAGAAGTTTACGGTTCCCTGTTGGCACAGTCCCCAAAACACCTAGAATCTTACCTGACGGACCTTATGTCAGCCGGTAGGTGCAAACCTAGCCCCAGGGCCTTTTCCAGTGGGGTAAAGGATCAAGGATCCTTATTAGCAGATTCTCAACGATCTTTGGCCAGCGTGTTTTGGGGCCATGCGTCCGCAGGAGAAATCTGATGGAACATGTCCCCTTTGTACCAGGCGTGGACGCAGCATCAGCTTCTTTCATTTTTCGCTTTCTTTTTAGCTTCGGGGTGTGAAATGAAGGAGACCGTCCGTCAGATTGGGATCTTTTGCCTTCAACACGGGTTCCGGGCAGCTGTCTGGCTTAGGTTGGGTATGCTGATAGCTGCGCAGTTCTTTCACCTCAACTTTTGAAAACACAGGTTTGGTATCTCATGGGGTGGCTATGGTCATTTTTCCATCAGAAATTGTACGATGGTCGGTGCCTAGTAACTAGTATCATACTTGTGACTATGACGGTGAAGTAGTCGCACCACAATCGCTTCCTAGAAGCTGGGAACGTGCATAGTGCAACATTTTTAGTCGCACATTCATGTAAGGGGTCGGCCGTGGCCCTTTTCTGTGCTGTTTCCTGCCAGGCAGTTGCTGGAAGAGGAAAAGCTCAGGACTCAGAGCATGATTTCCAAAGCGCAGAGAACATGTTGGCAGAGGACAAAACAATAACAACTCGAGGCTTTGCTGTTTGACACAGCAATGACACTTTTTTTGATAAAGAATTGCTCGATAGTGGCTTTCTCTTGAATGCTGTCTACAGCCCACGGCCTTTGCTCCAAGGCCTTTGCCAAACCCACGGCTGGCAGAAATTGTGGCCTCCCTGAACTTGGACTTCTTTCAGCTGCCCCAAAAGACGGTTCGTGGCCCAGACAATGAGAGGCAGTGTGGACATAGTTTCAGGTTTCAATATGTTGCAATCAGTTAGGATTCCATCAGCTCTCATCTTAGTTCTGAAATGATATTAACATAAGCTTTTGCACATGGGGCACATGGGTCCAAACGCTTCTTCTCATTCGCTGGCAGGTACAAAGGGTTGTGAATTCAGTTTAATGTCATTTCTAACTTAGAGTTTTGGTTCATGTGTTGTCCACAGTTTTGGTTGAAGTGCAAGTGCATTAAAAAAAAGTTGCAACTCTGGGGCAGTGAGCTACTTCTCCAACTTCTCTGAGTTGTGTTTCAGCGCTGTTCAGGCTTCCACGAATTCTCCGCTTTCTCAGGTGGCAAGACAAGCTGCTGGGCGAGGTTCATGCCTCAACGACCTTACCCGAACAAAGTGAGTCAATGCCAGCCACAGGTGCGACTGGCGACTCAACGAGTCAACCATTCCGGCAAGACTCATGTAGTAGTAACAAGGTTCGCTACTAGGAACAAGTGCATCGCTACTAGTAACAAGTGCCTTACTAGTAGTAACAAGAAGCTACTAGGAACAAGTGCCACGCTAGAGCAGTCCCCTGCTTTGCTGAGTGCTTTGCTACGATCCTCATGATAGTAGGGGTCCGGGGCGTGAACACAAACAACATCAGTTACTTCATGTTATTTCCACCTGCAAGAGGTTGCACGGCGTACTTTTTGGAATCTTTCATATGTGAGTGAGATGATGAATAGGTGGATGTTGGTGGATGCTTCGGAATGGAGCTTGACAATGTTTATATTATATAGGTGAACAGTGGCTCGATGGCTAAAGATATGGTTCAATATGGTTTGATGACTCCTGAGTAAGTGATGTCCAGCCGAATCGCATTATGGCGTGGCATGACGATCATGATGATCACGACAGTTTATTGTTTTTTCAATCAAAGCCCAATCGATTTGGACCATTTTTAAGCACAGATGAGATGGACATCATGCATTGCTGCCCAGGCCCTCCAAAGACAGAGGCAGGGTCTGTCAGCATGGTTGAGTCAGGATTTTCTGAAATGAAACTCAGAGCTTTCTTTTGGGGCTTTAAGGTCGCTTTAATGTGGTAAGCTTTTGCTGTAAGAGTTCTTGCCGGATAGAACGCTCTCTTGTTTCAATGGGACAGGGAAGTATGGGCACGTGCAAGACCTGGGAGGGGATCGGGTGCAAGAATGTGGTATGCCATGAGTTTGCTCGAGGAGAGACGTTATCGGGACGTGGTAGAAAGTGGTAGAAGTCCACAAGAGTGCTTAAACAACTGCTACAGTCACTACAGTAGTAGCTTCTTGTTACTAGTAGTAAGGCCAGGAGCTACTAGTAGCATCCTTGCTCCTAGTAGCGATGCCCATTGTTACTAGTAGCTTCTTGTTCCTATGAGAAAGTAAGACTTATATAAGTTATCTTAAATGATTTTGAGGCCCCATCTGCAGTTCCCGCTCCTCCACTTGCTCATGAAGAAGTTCCCCACCCATCAACATCCACTCCAGCTCCAATTGCAGAGAACTCAGGTGATCCGTGTGAACAAACACAAGCCAAGCGTCCTAGTAGCGTCCTTGTTACTACTAGTAAGGCACTTGTTACTAGTAGCGATGCACTTGTTCCTAGTAGCGTCCTTGGCTATCTTGTGAAATTCTATTGTTCTGAGCTTCTCGTGTGACACAGGCTGGTGCTACCTTGGTGTCACACCCCAAGTTCCTGAAGCTTTCTGCACTGTTGGAAATCGGAAGACTGAGGACTGAAGCTGCAGCTGTAGAGCTTTAGATAGGCCTCTTCCATTGCCAAGCAACAAGGCCCTGCATGCTCTCACCAGAGCAGTTTCACGCCTGGCAGCAGCTTGCGACTCAATTTTTTTTGGGGTGGACATTATTGAACAGCGAACCGTTCACCCAAATTTTGTGGAACTGACATGGCTGGCTGCATTGGACTTTGGACTTGCTCTACCGTACCGAACCGGCTTCAGACAATTAAATGCATATATACATGTATTATATATATACTTACTAGTAGCTATTTTTATAAACTCCTTCTCAGGGCCTATTCCCCTCCCCCTTGAACAATTGGAATTATGTGTTGAATGTGATTGAATGTGTCGAGCCTCAGGTCATTGCTGCAAAGCAAGTCGCATGGGCGAAGACGTGAGAGACGCAGACGAAGTGATTAAGACGTAAAGAAGTCGTCTGACGCGTCCAGAGTGTAAACACACGTATACTGCAACATACTGCAACCATGCATTCTAAGATTTATAAGTATTTATACCTAAAAGAGAATTGATCACCGCAAGCCGCAAGCACAACAAGAAATACCCAGTCTACACTCCAAGCGTTGACCATCCAATCTGCTTTGTCGTGATTTGGGGGTCCGCATATTGCAAAGCGAAGCTGTGGTGTCTTGGGCGAAAAGAGCTGTTTGATGAGTGTGATGAGTGTGAATGGTCAAGGAGAAGTTTGATTCACCACATGAAGTACCTTTGTTCAGGGTACCACTCCAAGACTCTTATGGACCGGATATGAGTGGGTTGGTAGATAGTGACACAGTGTGCCTTTACTGAATGTAACATTGCGTTCAAAAGCAGATCTCTTAGCCTGACAGGGAAAGAGGCAGAGATGGAGGGCAGACCGGGCAGATCAAAACCTTGTCCTTGCTCCATTTGTGCTTAGACCTTCTAGTCTTAAGCCCACTTCGAAATTTTGAGGGTCACTGTTGTACTGTAGCAAGCAAAAAGTGCTCGCAGGATGAGAGTGAGGAAGGTAGCGAGACCGAGGCTGAAGATGAGGACCCAGCTGTGCTTGCTTCTCTGGCCATACTCCTGGTCTCGTTTTTGTAAACACCTCACTTCAATGGCCAACAATGCTCACTTCAACTTTTTTTTAAGTCAGTAGCGCCCTTGCTCCTAGTAGAAAGGCCAGGAGCCCCTAGTAGCGTCCTTGCTGCTCCTAGTAGCGATGCGCTTTGCTACTAGTAGCGTCCTCCTAGTTGCAGTCTGCAGAGGTTTGGAGTCATCTTTGGTCTTGGGTGTCACTGCGTGCCGGTTGCCTTCTGCATATGGGGCTAAATCGGTGCTGGTCACTGCGTCCACTTACTGTGCAAAGTCTACTTTACAAGTGCAAACTCAGATGAGCTCTGCGTTTGACCACGGGTGTCACAGAATGCAATGAACCTGCTTTGGTCTCAAACTTCTTTGTGTCAGACACACTTGCTGCCTCCGAGAAGTTGCCCATGTTTGGGCAGCTAGTAAGACCTCCACTTGCCACGCAGCCTGAAGATTGCAGTAGCAAAAGATGCTTGGCTGTCAAAACACCCATCAAGCTTTGTGGTTGAAGGGAAGCTTGACCCTAAGTCATCAAACTAGCAGTCAGGCTCTTGTTCAAAGACATTCAAAGACGTTCAATTTGATTGATGCATGACAATATGTATGTTGCTGTATGCTTAATTGACAATGTAGGTAGTGCAGGCCGCGGGTTCCGTATGCCATTTTGGTTCTGGGATCTTCGCGCCCGGTGTGGTTGGCCATTTGGCCGGAACCAATCGGAATATGCGATCCAGCCTAATTCGGATGACACCTCCGACACACAGAAGTGTGTCAAATATTTTTCCCAAGCGCACAGCACACACCTCTGATACAGCAACGTCGACCGAGTCTGACCAGCGCGATTCGGACGCAGGTGGGAATTAACTCTGCACGGTCGTCGGTCGTCGGTCAAGTGGCACCGTTTTGCAATCCAGGTTGTGACCTAATAGAGGTACATAAGGCGACTTAGCCGGGTGGAATGATACTTGGCTCTTGTTATCACCGGCAAATGACCACAGATCCCCAGAAATTGTCCCCAGTCACGACAGATCACAGACGACGAAGAATAAACGCAAAGAGCAAAACAATATATATATATATATAACTATATATATTATATATATATCCATACATCGACAAGAAGCACCAGGATCACCAAATCAGCACACATTCTAACAAGTGCCCAAAGAACAAACCACATCACCACTAAAAGGTGATGTTATATAACGACAGTGGACTCACAGAAAAATGTTGCCCTGAACCAAGGTTGTATAAACTCACGAATTGGACGATGCAATGGCCGCACATATATTGTAGAGTTTTATCGCGCCTCACCCACGAATCATCAAAGCAACATCAAGCAACTGCGGCGAAATTTGTTTCTCAAGTATTCTCAAGTTTCCTTACTGATCTTCATTTTTGTTGGCAGCTGCAACATGCAGTTCCCGTAAACCAATGTCATGCTTGGTTTCTTTATAAGTTTGAAATACTTTTCTGGATGTATTTCACAGGGAGCTGCAAGTGCTTTCTGCAAAACGACAGCAGACTCAGCATCGGCGTGCGTGTTGGAGAGGAAAAGCAGCCTTCCAGCCGCTTGCGCTCGTTGGAATCCAAGTGATGGGGATGAGTTGCTCAGATGCTTCTAGGTTCAGATTTTGACACGCAGAGACAGAGATGTTTTTGTGTTGTTCCCAGGATAGGTATCGTAAAAAATATTTCATTAGGCTTGACGCCTTTCTCTGGATGTTTGTGGTTGCAGGATCCCTACCCCCTTGAGCTACTTCCGGGAGGGCGGACCTCAAAAAAGTAAGTTACATTTTAGGGTACCCCCCTAGGGGGTCAAAAAATGTAAGTTTTCCCCCCCCAGGCACCATCGAAACTAGTCAAGGGGGGGAGGGGGGGGCAAAAAAAGTGTAACTTGTTGCCTGGGACGTGCTTACTTACATTTTTCCAACCCCCCCCTGGGGGGGTCGTCAGATCGAGGGGAGGGGGGGGGTCTGGAAAATGTAACTTGGGACCTGGGAGGCCTGAACTTACATTTTTTTTACTCCCCCCCCCTTAGGGTGCGTTGGCAGATCGAAGATACGCCAATCACTAAGAAATTATTTGCGGGTGGGAGTCACTTAATGAAATATTTTCTAAATAAGTAATTAACTAAAAGTATTATTTGGCAACTGTTTGCTGATGCCTCAACACCAAGGAAAACATAGCCTCCAAAAATGCAGGACCAGGACACAGGCGAAAGGTGAGATTTGCAGACGTCAAAAATTGTAACTTACAATTAGTCCACGCATCCAAACCCTCAGATTTTACAGGGAATACATGGGTTCTGTGAGAAAGTTTGACCTCACAAATTGTAACTTACATTTTGGCCACATGCCCAACTCCCCAGAATTTACAAGGAACTGGGGTGTCCCCCTGAGGTACTTACATTTTAGCATACTGAAAAGCACACACGTCCGACCACACGAACCGCAAGCAGGGGGCAAGAAACCAGGGGATCAAACGGCGTTGAATATCCTTGTTCTCCTGCCCAATAGAACAGGCAGCCTCTCCTTTATTGTTCTCCATTATTGCTTATTGTGTATGGAGTGTGATCGTCTGTTATGTTTGGGTTTCGCTTTGTTGCCTTCCTTTGGGGTCTTCAGTGGGAACATGTATGTTCCTGTTTCTTGGCAGTTTGCTTTGGGTGTGCTTCCTGTTCTTCTTTGTTGATGATGACTCAGACCCACTGCTGTTCCCTCATCTGCTTTGTTTTTGTGTGGCTTGTTGCTGCAGAAGGAGTTGTGTATGGAAGACCCCCCCGGCCAAAAAGAATTGTAACAAAACAACATATATATTTTATATATTTGTTTTTCAGTTCAAAAAATGCTAATGATGCAGCCGGCCGCGGGCAGCATCATTCAACTTGATGGCTGACGGCTGACATGTTTCGGCAGGCATTTCCTTGAAATGCCGCATTTGACCATGCGGGACGTGGTCGTGAGCAGAAATTAGTGTGGGGATGGGGGGGGTCTAAAATTGTAAGCGCTCCTCTGTGCCTCAAAAATGTAACTTACATTTTTGAGGTCATTCCCCAGGAAATCACCCATGAGGCCTCAAAAATGTAAGTTACCTTTTTTGAGGCCACCTCAAAGTTAATGTAATTACATTTTTTGAGGCCCTGCGCGCAGGAAAATGTAACTTACAATTTTCGACGCCCCCCCTCAGGATAGGGTAGGGATGTTGCAGGATGCTGCAAGTCAGTATTCGCCTCCCTGTGGAACAGGACAAGTACATGTTTTTTTTTCCCATGCCCACGTTGGACTATTTGCCCATCAAACGTTGAAAGGCAGTGAACAATCTTAATTCCACAGAACTGTCTCTGGTCAACCAACACTACTTACTTTTATGTGTATATATATATATATCCGTTGCGTTAATTCTCACTTGCAATTTGTCGATTGCGCATCCTTGGATGCTGAAAAGTCCGTGCCAAATTGTTCCATACGTACTCCCTTTGTCACATTGTTCTACTACTGTATTCCATTTTGTTTGAAAGCTTTATGTTGGTTTCCTTCCATATACTTCAATTACTTTCAATCATACTTCACCATACTACTTTCACCAGTTAGGGGAACTCAAAGGAGGATCATGTCACACCCACAGGTCATGCCAGCCTTTGCGCCTGCCACACAACATGATGCTTTCATGATGGGTTTGCGCTAGGGTGGTGTGGTGTGAGGTTTGGTGTGCACTTTTTGAACCCAGGCGTTTTAACGGTTGGGAGGTGGGGGGGTGTGGGTGTCACCGTACAAAGATATTGACTTTGATTGGTGTTTGCATGGTGGACACCTGTGTACGGTTCAACCATGTTCGGCCATCCAGTATCGGACTTGCTTTTCTTCTCAATATTTTTCAAGCTTTATGATGTCTCTGCGGCGTGGCGAAGAAGCAGATCCTTAACTTCAAAGTATTCAACTTTGATTTGAAGACTTAAAGAAGGGTAGGAGTTTTGTGCTGCGCTGTTGCTTGTGAATCGAACCATGACTCTAGAAGCGACACGTGTTGATGCGATATTTGCTTTCCAATTCTCAAGTGACACAGACCACTTAGCAAGCAAAGCAGAGGTAATCTCATGCTTTTGAGACGGCAGGCTGGAATTTGTTGTTGAAACAGTTTTGATGTTTGACAGATGTTGGGTTTACTGGGATCAGGAATGCGGAATTGAAAAACAAGGAGCGTGGGAAGGGATTTGCGCGCAAGTATGCCATAATACACCAAGCAGAATCCAAACTCAACTCTTGCATCGGGTCCAACAAGACACGGCGTTGGCCTTGTGGCCATAAATGTGGATTCTGAGACTTTCCTAGTGCCGGTTGAAGGCAAAAACACACCCCTCGTCTTGAAGCCTGTGTTGCCAGGCCACACAAAAACTGAGGTTTTAT